TGCCTATGATAATGAGCGGACTTCAAAATTGGCTTATCTGGAAAGCAGAACAAAGTGAACTTCCTCTCAGAAGCAGCATGAGAATACAGTCATCACCCAGGCGCTCCAGGCCGCCATATGTACACATGTGCACCAAGGAGAGCCATCATAGATAAGTCCCAGCTGGTTGTTTCCAAGATTCACCTCATGGGGTTATTGTGAGGTCGAATTACCTTAAAACAGCCTCCCATTTAGTGTGCGTAACGTACTTACAGCACATGTCACCTGCTCAGCGAGCCATCAGAGTGAGCTTTGGGCCCGGAAAGACAGATTAGCAGTTAGGAACACTGACTGCTCTTCCAGATGACTCAGGTTTGATTCCCATCACCTGCATGCTAACTCACAACCGTCTGTGACTCCGCTCCTGGAGGATCCAGCATTCTCCTCTGGCGTCCGTGGGCACGAAGCATATAGTAGTGCCAGGCAAGACACCACCCATGTGCATCACATCAATAACGCTTCAAGACATCAACAGAGCATCAGTCTTCATCGTTATCATTGCTTATTTCAGGACCTGCAGTAATTGCTTATTTTTTAGCAGGAAGGATTGGTGGTTCTTTTCATTTATACGTTGTCAGTTAATAAATTAGTTTAGACCTGAAAACAGTAATGTTATATCTTTTTAAAAATTTCCAGCTATACATTTGTTCCGGTTTTTTTGACAAATTAGAATAAGAAAGAACAAAGTTCCCATATCTGTCCTGAGTGACAAAACGGTTGATGAGTGGAGTTTATTTTTTATGTGTGCAGTGTTAAAAATGTTTGAATTACTTGGGAAGCAGATGCAGGTGGATCTCTGTTGTTCAAAGGCATCCTGATCTGCACAGCAAGTTCCAGAATGGTTAGGGCTATATAGGGAGACCCTGTTTTAAAACAAACAAAAAATAATTGCAGTAACATTTAACTAAAATGACGGTTCCTTCCATGTAAGTCTAAACCTAATCTCTAACTCACTATCTAAATTTGGAGAGATGAGTTTGCAAGAAATATAGAAGCTTGGGTTTGTCTTTGTCCCTTGAAATTGTTATTTTTGCTGATAACATTTTGTCAGGACAGAACGGCCTTTTTCAGGGTAAGAGTCTGAGTCAGTGGCTCAAAGAATGCACAGCAGAATTGGACACCTGCTCCCCGAGGTCTCTGATGTAGTTTAGTGAGGCGCAGGTGGGCAAAGCAGTGGGAGAAGACGACTGGAAAACTAACACTTTCACGTTTAGGAAAATGCATCTGTGGAAAACGCAAAGCTAAGAACGATGACAGACTAGGACTAGTTCCTAATCCAACAGCTCCGAAGCCGTGAGAATTTGACTGAGCTGACCTGGGGTTCAAGAACTATATTGCATCATGAGTAGATCAGCATTCTGTAGCATTCCCCAGCTAGAAGTCTGTTTGGTGGTGAAGTTATATAGTAGATTTTTGTGTGTGTGTGTGTGTGTGTGTGTTTTGTCCACATGTGCACAACATCTGTGACTAGTATTTTCAGAGGCCAGAAGAAGGTTCCATATCCTCTAAAACTAGATTTAGGATTGTTTGTGAGCTGCCATGTAGGTGCTGGGAGCCAAACTTAAGTCATCTGTAAGAGTAGCCAGTGCTTTTAACAGTTGAGCCATCTCTCAACTGTTAAATGTTTTTGTTTTTTTTTAATTAATGAATTAATCTTAAAGGCTTCCATACTTAGCGGAAGGGCTGTGGAGACTTCAGTTAGCAGGGAAAGGGCTGGCGCTGCGGAGGTGGGGACAGAAGGCCCTGGGGTTTGCTGCCAGCCAGGTCAGGTGACTCGGTAAGGCCCAGGTTCAGGGAGAAACTCGGGCTGGAAAAGGAAGGTAGAGAGCAACTGGGCACACTTGATGGTGACCTCAGGCCTCTGTATGCACATGTACACCCGTGTACACACTGACAGACACATCAGTGTGTGCACGGGCACGTGACACATTCACACACAGAGTTGTCCTGTAAGTAAGTTAAAATTGTGTACACACACACACACACACGTAAATGTAACTTTTATTCTCCTGCTGTAATTGTCATCTCCAAGGTTTACTGCCTGACCTCGGCCATAGTCCTGGAAGCTTCTAGCTTCTGTACAGCCTAATGTAGGCCTAGAATTCTTTCAGCCTCTGAGACATATGGCTGCATAAACTCACCCTTTCTAGTTCTTTCTGAACTCTTGCTGGATGGTTCAACTTAGCTGTTCTGGCTCAAATTCCTCTCCTACCTGACTGATTGAATCTGTCTTCTTTCTCGAGACTCTGAATTGCTCTGCTTGGCCTCAAATTAACTCTAGTAATCTGTTCTAATCATCTGGCTCCTTCTCATTTTCTGGCTCATTCTGTCTTCACCTGTGTCTACCTTGTTCTCTCTTCAAGCTCTCTCTGTAAAACTCTCCTGGTAAAAACTTCCTCTGAATTCCATGAACTGCATTGCCACAAACTCACGTCCATAGCACTGCCCCAATCAAATCCAACAGAATGCAGAGATCTACATGCCTCTGTCTCCTAAGTGCAGGGATTAGCGGCATGTTCCACCATGCCTGGACCTCAGCTTTCTTTACTTGAAACTTGCTCTATCTCCACACTGGTTCCAGCATGTGTTGTCACTTGAGTTTTTGATCTTAGCCATTCTGATGAGTGTAAGGTGAAATCTCAGGGTCGTTTTGATTTGCATTTCCCTGATGACTAAGAACACTGAGCATTTCTTTAAGCGTTTCTCTGCCATTTGATATCCCCCTATTGAGAATTCTCTGTTTAGCTCTGTACCCCATTTTTTAATTGGATTACTTGGTTTGCTGCTTTTTAACTTCTCCTCCATTGCTGGTGGGAATGTAAACTTGTATAACCACTTTGGAAATCAATCTGGCACTTTCTCAGAAAATTAGGAATAGTGCTTCCTTGAGATTCAGCTATAGCACTCCTAGGCATATATCCAAAAGATGCTCAAGCATACAAGGACATTTGCTCAACCATGTTTGTAGCAGCTTTATTCACAGCCAGAATCTGGAAACAACCCAGAAGTCCCTCAACGGAGGAATGGATGCAGAAATTGTGGTACATTTACACAATGGAATAGTACTCAGCAATTAAAAACAAGGAAATCATGAAATTTGCAGGTTAATGGTGGTATTTAGAAAAGATCATCCTGAGTGAGTTATCACAGGAGCAAAAAGACACACATGGTATCTACTCACTTATAAGTGGATATTAGACATATAATATAGGATAATCATACTAAAATCTGAACAACTAAAGAAGCTAAGCAAGAAAGAGGACTCTGGGTAAGATGATCAAGCCTCACTAAGAAAGGCAAATGGGATGGAAGAGAGAGAAAACAGGAAACAGGACAGGAGCCTACCACAGAGGGCCTCGGAAAGACTCTTCCCAGCAGGGTATTAAAGCAGATGCTAAGACTCTTAGCCAAACTTTGGGCAGAGTGCAGGGAATCTTATGAAAGAAGGAGGAGAAGAAAGACCTGGAGTGGACAGGAGCTCCACAAGGAGAGCAACAGGAGCAAAACTTCTCGCACAGGGGTCTTTTCTGAGACTGATACTCCAACCAGGGCCATGCATGGAGATAACCTAGAACCCCTGCACAGATGTAGCCCATGGCAGCTCAGTGTCCAAGTGGGTTCCCTAGTAAGGGAAACGGACTGTCTCTGACATGAATTCAGGGGCTGGCTCTTTGACCACCTCCCCCGAGGGGGGAGCAGCTTTACATAGGACAGTCCTGATGAGACCTGATAGGCTAGGGTCAGATGGAAGGGGTGGAGGACCTCTCCTATCATGGACTGGGGGAAGAGCATGGGAGGAGAAGAGGAAGGGAAGATGGGGTTGGGAGGGGATGAGGGAGGGGGGCTACAGCTGGGATACAAAATGAATAAATTATAATTAATAAAAATAAATTAATTAAAAAAGAAGCTTGTTCTATACCAGGCTGGCCTTGAAGTCAGATCTGCTTGCTTCTGTCTCCTGAGATTAAAGGCTTGCCTATATTCCCTCAGGATCACACAGACCTAGAGGGTCTTTGTGCAGTCCTTTGCCAGAGCAGCTATGTTCTGAATTAACATTCCTCCAAACACCCCCCCCCACACACACACAACAAGAACAATGTCCTCTTTCAACAAATAGTGTAATATTCGCACCAGCGCAAGCATCTCAGTTTCCTCACAGACTGATCACTTCTCTGGACTGATGATTAATATGTTTTAGCTTCTTTTGAATACACATAGGTTACTATTATCTGGTCACCGCAGCGTTTGACAGAACACTGGAGTTCATTTCTCCTGTGTGACTGAAAATGCAGTGTGGCCAGACTTACTCCACGCTTCTTTCATGTCGCTCTCCCTGGCCTCTTGGCATGTCCATCCTGCTCTCAGGGTCTGGGTTGACTACATGCACTGCACATGAGTAGCTTCCGGCGGATACCATCTTCCGGCCCCACCCGGTTTGCTGCAAATGACAGACGATCGCTCCTTTTTATGGCTGAATCCTATTGTGTGGTGCATATGTAACACGTTTTCTTTATTCATTCTACAGTTAACGGGCACTTTTGTGGCCTCTATTTTTTTTTTTTTGGGGGGGGGGGAGAGTATTTGTTCAGTTTATGGATCCTTACAAGCATGAACACATGCACACACAGACATACAATTACTAGTATGTAAGAGACTGCTACTGGCTCATAAAATCCCATTGTTAAATTTTCAGGCCTTTTCACACCTCTTCATATTAGATAAGATAAGTGACTTGCAGTTTGTCATGTTGACAATATTTATCCCATGAATACCCGCAAATGCCACAAATCAATGCTGTGCCCCTTTTCATTTGCAGAGAAAGTTATTTAACACTTGCAACTTTGCATGTTCCCTACATATTTATTTTAATAAGATAAAGGACCTTTGAAGATAGTATTTATATTGAAGTTTGCAGAAGACAAAAATAATCGAATTTGTTCTTTATCTTCCTGCATTTCCAGGGATACGGAAAGACCGACGAGGAGGGCGAATCCTAAAACACAAGCGCCAGAGAGATGACTTGGAAGGCAGAAATGAGATGGGGCCTTCTGGAGACATGAGGGCCGCCAACCTTTGGCCAAGCCCTCTCGTGATTAAGCACACGAAGAAGAACAGCCCCGCCTTGTCCTTGACAGCTGACCAGATGGTCAGTGCCTTGTTGGACGCTGAGCCGCCCTTAATCTATTCTGAATATGATCCTTCCAGACCCTTAAGTGAAGCTTCGATGATGGGCTTATTGACCAACCTTGCAGACAGGGAGCTGGTTCATATGATCAACTGGGCAAAGAGAGTGCCAGGTAAGGATGCGAACCTCTACTTCCACATCAACAGTGAATAATTTCTCAACGATCGGCTGGGATGCCTGGGGTGGGGGAGGGGGAGGGGGAGAAATAGTAGTGTGGTATGTGGTTAGCGACAAGGCTACATTAGGATTTGCCAATTGTCAATATTAACTCGCCATATTATTCTTGAAACCTAGAAAATAGCCTTTAAAAATAAACACCCAGATGAATAAAACCTTGGACACACTATCTTTGGCCAGTCTTCTTTGTTGAAAAGACCCAGAATGGGCACTACATATCACACACACATATGTTTTGTCATGCAGACATCACATATTAAAAGTACTTAATGCTCTGGAATCTACATTTTTTTTTTTATTTCTAAGACAATCATTCAAAACACTTCTATAAGAACCAATTTTTTTCCATAAATAATCTCTTCGTGAAATATTGTTGTACACTAAAAGGCTAAAAGTGGGTGTGTTTGTGGAATGCCAATTATTTATTCAGCTTGCTTTCAGCATTGCATGTCCAGAGAAAGGGAAATACAGTAGGAAAACAAATTCAAGCAGCATCCCAGCATCTTCCAGAAAGATCCAGAAGCACAAGTGACACTCCACTCCTCCGATTTGTCTCTCAAGTGCTGCTTCTACAGCTCTTGACTTCTTGAGTAAGGAGGAGAACTCTAGAAACAAGACTGTCCAGGGCTCGGACTAATGGATTTCATATAGAGATGCGTTGCTGAGGCAAACAGGGATGGACTCACTTTTCTGGCTTATAGATCAAGTCAATGGGGGATTTAAATAAAGCTTTTTCTCCATGTGTTTCAATAGATCTGAAGTCATGTTCTATGACATGTGAGATATGTTTTCTTTCTGTTATAAAACTAAAATTCATGAGGAGTTTTGGGCCTTCAGAGAGTCACTCACATAGTCTGAGTTGATGTGGGTTTCTCCTTGTGTGTGCATAAATTCACCTGTAAATGTGTTGTGCTTTGAGAAGGGAGCCAGCAGTTCAATGAGCCAGTCTTACCTCAGGGCACATTTCTAGGTGGTTTGGGTAGGAGAGATCAGAGTATATGAAAAAGTAAGACTGGTCGAAAAACATTAAGTTTTGAAGATAATTCTGTTGGTCAAGCAAAAATTCTTGTTTTGTGAGGTAGATACAAATTCCTTGGGATTGGAGTTATGTGGGGCTATATGTTTCTTTTTCCTTGAACTTTATGTCTGCTTTTGCCTTGTTTTATACTTGGAGATAAAAGAAAACTGAAATGATTTAATGGTCATAGCCCCAAGAGCCAATTCTTGGTTGCTGTTAAGTTTTTGTTATCCTGTAAACATATCCCCTATGAGATCCTACAATACTAGTTCCAGAGCTGAACTATGAGTATTTGCTGAGCTCAAGCACCTATTTCTCTTTTTTATCTGTAGAGTCCCCTCTCAACATTTTATAATTGCTATTTTGTTGTTATTGTTGTTGCTTGAAGCCAGGGACTTGCTGTGTAGCCCAGGCAGGCCCTGGACTCTTCCTGCTTCAGCCTGAATAAGGTCAAATAGATGACTCAATGATAAAAACGATTCATCAAACTAACCTCAATTTGGGATTAAAATGGAGCAGAAGTCAAGGTTAGGAAGATACTGTGTCCATGTTTAGATGTTTCATTGTTAAACTCAGAATTAGACACGTGTGGTAATAAAACATCTAGCAAACCTACTTTCAGATTTCTATGTGTTAATCCAAAGGGTCAAAAATTTTTGGGTCTGCTATATTTTGTTGAGTGGTCCTTCAGGAAAAAAAGAATTATAAAAGCAATGTGCAATTATGTACAGTCACGCGCCACGTAAGAACATTTTGCTCAGCGACAGGCCGTGTCAGTGATGGTGGGTCTGTAGGTCAGAGGGAGGGCACGCATCAGTGATGCCATGGTCCATGTTAGGTGGGTTAATTTGTGGAGACTAACAGATCCACTCAGGGACAGTTCACTGATATAGCACTGTCATCAAGTGACACAAGGCTGTGTGTGTGTGTGTGTGTGTGTGTGTGTGTGTGCGCGCGCGCATGTGTGTCTGTGTGCCATTGAAATGAAGCTATTGTAGGTCAAAAGCCTACTTGTCTGGGGAAACAGAATCAAAATATCCATTGATTTAAAAGGGATGGGAAAAAAAAGAGCAGATCAAAAGCCTTCAGGAGGAACTAGGAAGATAACTGTGGAAGTTTGCAGAAAAAGTTGTATTTCAAAAAAGTTTATAATACTCACTACCATCTGTCATTTAAAGAGATAGTTTATCCTAAAGAGCTGGTATAGGCAATGTCACATTTATGAAGTGATAATTCGAGAATAATAATAGTAGTTTCAAAGAGGGAATGAGAAACATCGTTAGGAAGAACAATAGCAGGGAAGGCACTGTGGAATCAGCGATGTGATAGGAATTTGAAAGAGAGCGGGGAGGAACATAGGGAGGTCTGAAGGAAGCAAGCACAGGAGGAGCAATGATGTAATTGTATTATAACCTCAAAAATAATTTGAAAATATACACAAAAGGAGACAAAGGAAATATTTGAATAAGGAAGTCAGAAGGGGAAAGAGTGACTACCAGTGTAGCAGCTGGAACACGCTTCACACTGAGGAGTGGATTTTTAAAAAGTATAGTCAGTGCTTTGGGTTATTTAATATTTCCCCAACCAAGTATTGTTAGGGTTCTCAAGCTTTGGTGAATAAAATTGGATTTTCCTTTGTCTCATTATTTGGCCCTATTTTCTGACTTGGTATGTAGGAATTAAGAAGTGAGGATATGAAAAATGAGATGTAAGCACAGTCATCAATTCTAACTCACAAGGTACTTGGAAAAGATGACTATACAGAATTAATGTTTCCCTTTGACATGTACGAAGATCAGCTGTGACAAGAATGAGAACATCTACCTTTCCAGTGCTGCAGAAGACTTTTAAAAACTATTTTTTGAAATGTAAATGTTTATATTATTTTCCCTACCCTTTCCTCACTCAACTCTTCTCTTTACCCTATTCTCTCTTTCAAATTCATAGCCCTTTTCATTTAATTTCTCTTAAATCAATCAATCAATCAATTTACCTATCTATCTATTTACCTACCCATCTACCTACTCCTATATATGTAAGTACCACCTGCTTAGACTGTATAATGTCACCTATAGAAATATAACTTCAGGGCTGAGCACTTGGTACTGGACAAACAGTTGGGGAGCTCCATCCTGGGGAAGACTGTTTCTTTGGCTCTCAGCATTTCATAATGGCCTACAGTTCTTACTCTAGGGTGGGATCCCTGTGAGTGAAATTTCCCTTTTCCATGTTAGCGTGCCGATTGGTGTCTTTCTGGTTTAAGTCTTGCTTGGGACAGGTCTGCTTTAGGCCTCATGTGCAGTTGTTCAGCAGTTTCTGTGTCACCTCCCAGTGAGTGTGGTTGTCTAAACCACCCCACAACTCAGGACTTCTGGTTCTCAAGTCTCCCCATAATTCTAGTGAACAGTTCCCTGGCCCTAACACTCAACAGTGTCATTCACAGAAATCTGGAAACACAGGAAGAGGTAAAAGGTGACTTTGGAACCTTCCAATCTGAAAAAAATCTGAGCCCTTGGAGTACTCCGTTGTCGCATTAACCAGGGCAGCTCTCTAGGCTGTGATGATTTTCTTTTATCTCTTCAGAGTCTACCTTCTGTTATAACATCTCCGGAGCTATGGGTAGCTACCGCACTGAGACTCAGTTTCCACCCTATCTTTTTGAAAGGGTCAAAGGATGTTGAGGAGTGTACAGACATGAGCCCCCAAAACTCTCCCAGGGGTCAATTGTCTGTCCACAGATGAGATGTATTCAAATGAGTGTGACTGGAAATGAAGGCAGGTAGGGACAAGAGGGAAGGGAGAGGGCTCACCCCCCCCCCCCCAGCCAGGATCAAGAGTGAGCAGCACTTTCTATTCTAGGAGGTTCCTTTGTGATCCCTCAGTGTCTGTTGCCAGTTAAGATCAGAGCGGCAGACCCTAACCTCAGGCTGTCGCGGGGCTCTACCACACTATGAAATGGTTAAACAGAGCATGGCACGGAAGGATGGGTGACATCCTGGAGAGATGTCAGATGCCATTGTTAAGGGTAAGACTTGTCTAGAATGTGGAACTGTTTGTTTTTATGTGGAGATCCCCAGGATCAGGACAGGATCACCTCACCCCTGGCACAGTACTCTGCACTGCTCACCTAACTTCCTGATCAGTCCAGCCCAGCTCTCTACTGCTCCCGTGGAAGTCCAAAGTAAGCCACGAGGAAATCAGCTACTTGGCCGGCCTATGTTTCATGTCCAGCTCTAACCCTGACAGACATTTCGGGACCAGGTACCTGAAGGCTTTGGAAGATGCCTTTCTCGTGTTGAGAGTGTGGAGAATGACCCTGGGGGACCCTTTGCCACACACTCCAGTGTTGAGGAGCCTGGGTGGCCCTAGAACCTGATGTCTGTGTACCAGAGTTGGGGGTTCTGGGTGCCCCCTGGCCACATTTCCAGGATTGTTGGTTACAGCGTTGCCATTTCCAAAGAAGCTGGGCATCTACTAACGGTGTAAGTGCATAAACAGATGTTACTCTTAAAGTGTGTGGAATTGTATTCTCTCAAAAGCACACATGTGAGGGCCAGCTCCTCACATCTCAGACTGATCTTACCTAGAAGCAGAGTCTAACAGAAGCTGAGAGCTTCCAGTGAGCTCACACACATGGTCTGCAGTAGAAGACAACTAGTAAAAGGGCAATTGGGCACTGACTTAGACCTGTGTGTGTGTGTGTGTGTGTGTGTGTGTCTGTGTGTGTCTGTGTGTGTGTGTGTGTGTCTGTGTGTCTGTGTGTGTGTGTGTGTCTGTGTGTCTGTGTGTGTGCATGTGCACAAGGAGAAGATAGGAAGGTAGCCATCACACCCAACTTTCTTCTTGATTGAACTTGTGAACTGGACAGCTGACATGTCCTCGTTATAAGCCAAGGATCACTGAAGTTCAGTAATGGA